TTTTTTATTTTTTTAATTAATTTTTAGTCTATTATTTACATTTAATAAAATTTTTATACTTTATTTTAAATTAATAGATCTAATGATTAAATAATTTTTACTAATTAAAATAACATTTATCATTCTATATCTAAATGGTGTTGACATAATATTAATATGAAAAGTAAAAAATATTATATAATTATATTATCATATCACATCAATATACCACGATATTTTTCATTATAACATATTAACATGTCACTTGGTATAAAATGATAAGTAAAATTTTGATTGAGAATAATTAGTTAACCATTAACCATAAAGGTTTATGTAAAAAGTACAAAAATATTGATTAAATGTAATAAAAAAGTAAAAAATTATTTAATTTTTTTTAAATAGTTCAAGAGTATTTTAAAATATTATACTTAACATAATTTATGTTGAATTTGTTATGTTATATACTGATTTGTTATATTGGTTAGTTTGCTTGGTTTATGTGAAATACGAGATGCAATACTTAAAAATATATATTTTTATTTCTATACGTAACTTATGTTACCATTTTATAATTGATTACTATAAAGAAGTTAAAATATAAAATAATATGTACCAGAGAATCTCTAAATCCTTCTATTAAAACAAAAGACTCCATTTCAATACCAATAATACTAATAATAATAATTTGCATAGTTTGTCAGCAGAAGAGTACATAATGCTGTACAGCAACTAAATCATCATCTTCAGTGTATAGGGATAAACACAAAACATGATTAATATTTAGCGAATTTTGAGGTATAGTTAAGTGCAAATTGAGTTGATTAATTACTAATTAATGACAATAAATAAGTTAGAAAGAGAAAGTGTAGAGCATTTGCATTATTTTTTGGTTTTGGAAACGAGGGAAGGGATTTAAATTCTATTTTTTAAATAAAAAAATTATACATAAATTAATAAGTCAAATACTTAATGAATTCACAGTAATATAACCTTACTGTAAAGCTAATTAAAATAATTTTTAAAAAAATAATAAAAACCTGCTTAGCAAGTTAATAGGTCAACAACATAAATAATTTCTAAACTTATCCATTTTATATTAACAATATAAATAATTTTTAAATTATTTTATTTTATTTTAAATATTATTTAATTGTTATTTTATTTTATTTTTATTTTAAAATATACGAATATTATTATTTTTAATATTAACATTATATCTAACTAATTTAATTCAATTAA